AACTCTTGACCTCAGGTGATCCACCCACCTCAGCCTCCCAAACTGCTGGGATTACAGGCGTGAGCCACCATGCCCGTCCAGGCCCTTTTTATAAGGAGACTAATTGCGTTATGAGGACACTGCCTCTATGACCTAATAACTTCCCTAAATCTCCACCTCCTAATACCACCACTTTGGGAGTTAGGATTTCAACATGTAAATTTTGGGGGCATACAAACATTCAGATCATAGCAAGTTCCCTGATGACTAGTGAAGTTCAGCACCTTTTCATATGTTTATTGGTCAGCTGGTTATTCTCTTTATAAAACATGCTGTTGATTCTTAATCTCTTTTACCCCTGATAATGTTGTATCTTCTATTGTTTTTCTTATCATCAATATATTATATTTATTTCTCTATTATATTATTATTTGCTATTTCTGTGCATCTCTCTCTATCTTCTAATTAACGTATGATACTCTGCCCTTGCTGGAAACCTGTGACAATATTCATTAGGGAAAAGAAAATGAGAAAGAATAAATGAAGATTTTAGGTTTAGGATGCTTTAGGATGGAGCTGATGTCCTCAAAGAACAATGGGGACAGAGTAGGGAGAAAATGTACATGCAGCCTGGGCACCTGATCCCCTTCCATAGTCATATCGCCTCTGCTCCTTCTGTCTAATTTATTCCACATTGTGACATTCGTCTATCATTCTCCAATTGCTTTGTGTTATATGTTCTGTATACCCTGAACATCAGTATATTTTTCAAGGGAAAGGATGCTGTCTTTTACTTTGTATATGTACTCGTCATTTTACCCTAAATAACCTTGTATGCAACAAGACCTAACAGTCTATCTCTAAGACCATAGTAATCCCAAGCACTTAGATTCTGAGTTTTGTGTTGAAACCACAGTTGATCCTCTGTTGTTTTTGAGTCTGTGCTTTCTAAGTTCAAGCTGTGACACCGAGAACTGCACACCCTGCCTCCTCTGGAAGCATCCTACTTTCTACTGTCATTTTCTGGCTCTCCCCATCAGCAGGGATTTGGGTCCGCAGACTGAGATGCAGGGACATGACTGCCCCCTTTCCCATCTCCCAGTCTAAAAAAGGAGTGTGGTTTACAAGGGTATGAGCAAATATCTAGGCCCTTTCTATCACAGATGTGATTTTTGTTTGAGGGCCTAGTAAAGGAAATTAACTAAAATAGTTATTATTTTCATAAGCTAAATAAGTAGTTGAAGAAAATAATATGAGTAGGATATAAGAAAAATTTTATTGGAAGAAATTTCATTATTTAAATATTCACCTGAAAGATCTTTATTTGTAGTGAAACCCACTCACCCCTCATCCTCCTACATGAGGCAGGCCAAGAACACTGCCCTGGACCTCCAGTGATCCTGTAACACACAAAGATAAACAGGCACTTTCTCGGAACCAGAATTTAAACTTCCTTCAGCGATCTCAGGACTAACTCAAACACAGGGTGTGTCCTGAGTGCTAGGGGTTTACTTGGAGTCCTCAGTTGCTCAATCACAAGAATTTCCAAGTGTTTCCAGTCACCAGTTTCAGGACTAGGGCACTAAATTCCTGGGGGTCTGGGAAAAGGGAGTACATCACTAAGGGTATCAAAGCCAAAACTTGATCAGAAACAGATTTGACTTTCACTTATAATCCAAACCAGGAATTCCCTGGACATAAGATCACTAATCTAGGGGGAATCCTGCGTATGGGTATTCTGGGCGATTCCAAAACCTTAGTTATATGGGAACTCTGATTCCAAACTGGAATGTTTCTTTTCCATGCATGCTCTCTCATCCTGTGGGCAAGAATCATGACTAATTTACGGTTTTTAGAGCTTATTACTACTCTAATCTCAAGCCAAGGCATTAAAAAAAAAAAAAAACTTGCCACCACTCATATGATATTCTGTTCTATCAGGGACTTCTGTCAAACCATGATTGTTGAACAGCTTTGCCTCTCTGGAAAGCAGCTTGCTAGAAAGACTTGGGATAGAGAGGGAGGGTCATGGCCAGATGCCGAAAGCAACATTTACATATTTAGTGAAAGCCCAGGCTTTATTTCTTAGTAGCTATGTGATTTTGGATAAGTTACCTAATTTCTGTGAACCTCTATTTCTTCCTCCGAGAAACAATGATAAGCACACTTACCTCAAAAGGCTGACTTGAAGCACAAGTAAACAGTGGACATGAGAGCACTTGGTAAACTACGAAGTGATCCACAAAGAAGGGTATTGTCATTTTACCCTTTCCTCCAATCCTCAGTGGAACTTTCCTTATCTTTTCAAACCTCCTCCCAGACCCCGATCCCAGACCCGAGGAATAATTCCTGACATTCAGCAGGTATTCAATAAAGGTTTTCTTATCTGGATGAACAAAATATTGAATAGATGAATGGATTCAGTCATTTAACAGATATTTGTTGGGTGCCTAGTAAGTTTCAGAGACTGTTGGAAGTACTGAAGAAATGGCTGTGAACAAAACAGACAAAAGCCCACACCCTCACGGAGCTTCTGTGCCAGAAAGTGGAGAGAGACCCTGAAGACATCAATCATTAAAACATAGGATGCTGACTAGTAGTGAGTCCTGTGGACAGCAGCAAAGCAGGGAAGGAGGAGAAGGGATGGTGGGGGTGAGGTTAGCCTCTCAAAAGATGGGTCTGGTTATTCCTAGAAACTCCAATTCACAGCTCCAGAAGCTGAATTCTTTGGGGATGAGTTAGCTTTCCAGGACTCCTTCTAAAGAAGTGTCATCTTCCTCCCCACTCAGCAATCACTCTGGTCCCGGGCACCCAGTGGCCAGGCTCAGGGTCAGAAGCCAGGCAGCAGCTAAGGGAAAGCAAGGACAGCCAGGCAGATGGAATGAGACCCAGGGGAAGTATTCCAGGCCACCCATCCCTGGAAATTAGATCACCTTGAGAATGAGTCTCCACCTTGCTGTGTCTAAAAAGCCCTGCACTGTGTTTCCTTGAGTAGAACTGGATGGAGACCAGTTTCGTATACTTTAAAGCCCTTCCCTGTTAGCATTGTATAAGTGACACATCCCTGTCCAAACTCATCTGACTAACAGCTGCTAATTTCCTAGCAACCCTGCTCTAATGATTATTGCATGGAATGAAATGAATCATAGCACAGAAGCACAAGTTTATATTTCAGGGGGAAAGAATTTCAAAATTCTTTCTCCATGTCTCTTCTGCTACTCAACCTCCATCTGGACCATCCCTGACCAAACTCAGCAAGAGGTTCCCTTCCTTCAGCAAGCCCTCACTGCATGACGGCAGTGTTGAGAGTCCTCTACCAAAATATTAGTATTCACCAGGCTTACACTTACAAAGAGCCATCATGGTTATTTCTTGACTTTTTGGAATCATTCAGTTTCTGCTGCATGGCAACTGCAGTGGGAAGCCTGGACAAGACAAATCTACAGAAACTGATTTAAAATCACATAAGAAAGCCTTGTACATCTGTTCGAGGATGGCAACTAAGTTGTATTTTGCACTCCAGTTCCAAATGATTGGTGTTGGTTCTGTGCAACACGGGTCTGTGAAGGAGCTCAGGGAGCTTGTTGGAAGGATAGTGGGGGGCGATTGATTAGTCATGCTGCCATGGATGAGATACAGTAAAGGGGCACTCCTCTACTCCTCTTACTCCCTAAATGGGCATTCCATTTACAATAGCATCAAAAAGAATAAAATACTTAGGAATACATTTAACAAAAGAAGTGCAAGACTTGTACACTGAAAATTACAAAAATTACAAAATCCTCTTGGGATTTAACACACCTCGTCTCATTCCAGCTTCTTATTTTACAAATGAGGAAACTGATATTCAGAGTTGAGGTAAGCCCAGCAAGATCGTACCACCAAGGAGCAGCAGGGTCGAATCTAAAATCCAGCCCTCTGGCTTTCCATTTGAGTATTGTTTTCAACATTAACTCCTTTTTTCGCTCTCTCATAAGGTCTGTAGAGGGCTGATTTTATGAGGCAAGGAGAGATTAGGGACCTGGCTGTCTGTGTAATGCCTGATACATGGTTCATGATAACCAGCTGCTCCCTGCTCCCAGCCTGGTTTCTGAGCTCTCTGCCCCCTCCCAGCGGGACTGCAAACCACAAGCTGTTGCAGCCCCAACTGGAAGAATGAGGGGGCCTTCCCATACAGAAATCCACAGTGATGCCCTGGGGGCCTGGACTCCTGTTCCTGTGCCTGAATTCCTTTCTCCTTGTAATTTTATTGCCTTCATCGTTCTTATCATCCCAGTTTGGACAGGCTCGAACTTGTGATGGTATGCTTTTATTTTTCTCTCAGAGTGATGTTGATATAAAGTGCATTTACTTCTATTTTAAAACTTAGTCTTCCTAGCTAAACTGATTTATTCTGTGGGAAAAGACCATCACATGTGAATGTGACTAGAAGGAAAAAGGGACCAGAAAGTTTTTTTGTTTTGTTTTATCAAGAGATTAGCTTCTATTTAAAAAATAAAATAGAATAAACCTTTGCTCAACTGATATAATTACCTTTTCCTTGGGACCAGGACCTGGCCTAATGCCAGGCTTTCATGCTGGTCATCACCTCCTCCTGAAATGCTCTACGTCCTCACCACGCCAAACTCTGTTCTTCCTTTATGTGTTTAAAGTCCTCCTTTGACTTGGGGTACAATGAAGAAGATTTGTTGAGTTCAACAGTTACTGAGAGTCTACAACGTGTCCAGCACTGGGCTTGGCACTCAGGATTCAAAAAATGAGTACAGACTGGGCTCAGTGGCTCACACCTGTAATCTTAGCACTTTGGAAGGGAGGCCGGGGCAGGCAGATCGCCTGAGGCCAGGAGTTTGAGATCAGCCTGGCCAACATGGTGAAACCCTGTCTCTACTAAAAATACAAAAATTATCTGGGCGTGGCAGTGGGCACCTGTAATCCCAGTTACTTGAGAGGCTGAGGCAGGAGAATCGCTTGAACCCAGGAGGCAGAGATTGCAGTCAGTCAGGATCGTGCCATTGCCCTCCAGCCTGGGTGATAAAAGTGAAACTCTGTCTCAAAAAACAAACAAACAAACAAACAAAAGAGTACAATAAGGACCCCACATTTGGGAAAAATAACTGAGCAAATACAATGAGCCAGAGGAAAAAAGCTAAGCCTCACACCCTATTACCTATCTATCTCATTTACTTCTCAACCTGAAACTACTCTTGTGGTCATGAGCTGTATGTCTTTTGTTCTCCACTCTATTCTCAGCACCAAATGCAGTGCCTGGCACATGGTGCCCAGGAAAGACTATTGACTGAATAACTGATTTCCTACAACCAGTCTGCAAGGTAGACATCCTTTTTTTCCCTTTTTTACAGGTGAAGAACTAACGTTGATGGAAGTTTAGCAACCTTTCCCAAAGTCTCATAGTGGTAATGTCTTGGGTAATTTGTTTCCAAACTCTGCTTTTTCTCCTGTATAGGACCCTGAGCCACTTCACCTTTCCAGACTCAGTGGAGTCTTTTTTCTTTCTTTCTTTCTTTCTTTCTTTCTTTCTTTCTTTCTTTCTTTCTTTCTTTCTTTCTTTCTTTCTTTCTTTCTTTCTTTTTTCTTTCTTTCTTTCTTTCTTTTTTTTTTGAGATGGAGTCTCATTCTGTCGCCCAGGCTGGAGTGCAGTGGCGCGATCTCAGCTCACTGCAACCTCTGCCTTCTGGGATCAAGCAATTCTCTGCCTCAGCCTCCCGAGTAGCTGGCACTCAGGTGCGTGCCACCACACCTGACTAATTTTTGTATTTTTAGTAGAGATGGGGTTTCACCACATTGGCCTGGTTGGTCTTAAACTCCTGACCTCGTGATCCACCCACCTCGGCCTCCCAAAGTGCTGGGATTACAGGCTTGAGTCACCGCACCCAGCCTAGACTCAGTTTTCTTAACTGCAAATTCAGAGGAGAAGGCTGGATGACCCTAAAATCTAACCAAGCTCTAAATTTCATAACCAGTGCCCAAAGTTGGTAGTGGAATGCATATGCTCATTTTCCCTGAGAGAGTACTTATTTGTCTTGTTTTTATTTTTTTTTAACATGCATTTCTTCTGCACATGTCATTATACTGCCAGCTCTTTGAGCTTAATGTTTCATTTTGTAACTGGTTTGTACTACTCCCAGATCTGTGTTCTGTGCTCAAGGACTTCTCAGACATTTTAAACTTCATGACTTTCTGTAAGCCTACCTTATCTTAAAGACTAAGCAAACCATGTGCTACAGTTCCCGGCACCAGGAATTTTTTTGTTTTCTCTCAAGGACAACCCCAAGCTTTGGGTGCTCTATGGCAGGCTTCAAATAATCTCTTGCCTTAAGATGGAGAAAACATTTCTTGGAAATAATGATTCTTGACTTTGTAGGGGAAAAAAACAGATTTTGAAATTTTGTGGGATCATACAGAAATCAATGTATTTCTATACACTAACAATGAGCAATCAAAAATGTAATTAAGAAACAATTCCATTTACAATACCATCAAAAAGAATAAAATACTTAGGAATAAATTTAATAAAAGAAGTGTAAGACTTGTACACTGAAAATTACAAAATACCGTTGAAGAAAAAGAAAGAAGATCTAAATATATGAAAAGACATATTTGTCTTTTCCACAAAAAGATGTTTGTGGACCAGATAACTTAATATTAAGATGGCCACACTCCCCAAATTGATATACAAGTCTAACAAAATCCCTATCAAAATCCTAGCTGGCTTTGTTTCAGAAATTGACAAGCTGATACTAAAATTCATATGGAAATCCAAGGGACCTAGAATGGCCAAAGCAGTCTTGAAAATGAAGAACAAAGTTAAAGGACTCACACTTCCCAATTTCAAAACTTACTGCAAACCTACTATAATCAAAACAGTGTGGTACTGCTATATGGATAGATATATAGATGAATGAAATCAAATGGAGAATATAGAAATAAACCTTTGCATTTATGGTCAATTAATTTTGACAAGGGTGCCATGATAATTAACTAGGAGAAAGAATTGTCTTTTTAACAAAATGTTCTGTGATAAGTGTATATCCACATGGAAAAGAATGAAGTTGGATTCCCACCTTACACCATGCACAAAAATTAACTTGAAAAGGATCAAAGACCAAAATATAAGAGCTAACACTAAAAAACTCCTAGAAGAAATTTTAGATGTAAATCTTTATGACCTTGGATTTGGCAATGGTTTCCTGGATGTGACACCAAAAGCAAACACAACCAAAGACAAAAATAGGTAAGTTGGATTTCATCAAAATGGAAAACTCTTGTGCTTCAACAGACACTATGAAGAAAGTGAAAAAACAACCACAGAATGGGAGAAAATATTTGCAGATCGTATATCTGATAAGGGTCTGGTGTCCAGAATATGTAAAGAACTCTTCAACTCAACAATAAAAGCACAAGTAACACAATTTTAAAATGGGCAAAGGATCTGAATAGACATTTCTCCGAAGAAGAATGCAAATGTTCAATAAGTACATGAAATTATGCTCAACATCATTAGTCATTATGGAAAAGTCAAAACTATAATAAGATGCCACTTCATACCCACTAGGAGAATATACTAGAAAAGAAAGACTATAACAAATATTAGTGAGGATATGGAGAAATCAGAATCCTCCTCCATTGCTGCTGGGAATGTAAATGGTGCAGCTACTTTGGAAAACAATTTGGCAGTTCCTCAAAAAGTTCAACATAGAGTTACCATATGCCCCAGCAATTCTTCCTAGGTATATACTCAAGAGAAATGAAAACATAGGTCCACATAAAAACTTGTACACGGATGTTCATAGCAGCATTATTCATGATAGCCAGAAAGTGGAAAGAGTCCAAATGTCCATCAACTGATGAATATATAAAGATAATGTGATGTATTCATATAATAGAATATTATTTGGCAATGAAAAAGATGATGTACTGATTCATGCTACAACATAGATGAGCCTTGAAAACATTATGCCAAATGAAAGAACCCAGTCATGAAAGATCCCATATTATAGGATTCCATTTATATGAAATGTCTATGAAAGGAAAATCTGTAGAAATAGAAAATAGATTAGTGCTTGGCTGGGGCTTGGGGGAGTTGAGTGGGAAGTGATGGCTAATGGGTACAGGTTTCTTTGGGGGAGGTAGTATTCTGGAATTAGTTATACAATCTATAAACATACTAAAAACCAGTGACTGTTATACTATAAAATGTGAATATTATGGTGTATAAATTATATCTCAATAAAGGTGTTTGAAATAAATTTTGTGTAATCAAAGAAAATCCACTACAGAAATAAGACTAACGGAAAATCCCAAGCTAGCCCCATTCTTAGCATTCACAAGGCTCCCACCTCTATTGTAGCAGGTCATACCCATAAAACTCTAATCTACATGGATCCTCAAAGCTTGGCTTCTCCACTTAGTCAATGATTCTTCAAGCCCATTTGTGATACATCCTCTGGCTGATCATCCAACCTGTGCTTAGCTAGGATCATTTTACCTCCTTTTCAAGCATTTATTGAACATCTCCTCTGTGCTCAGCTCTGCGCTAAGTGTTGAGAATACACTGCATTGTTATCTCCTTAACGCAACAAACATTTATTTGATTATTTGTAATATATAAGACATTTTACTGGTTTCTATTCATTTCTGTTTATTCATATCCCTTTTAGCTTAGATTCTCCTAGAAGTGGATCTTCAAGCAAAGATTCAAGATCTACTTCTAGAGAGAGTGTATTTGGGAAGTGCAAGTAGTTCTTGCCAGGAAGTGGGGAAGGGGTCCCTAAAAGGAAAGGGAGCCTATAAAGTCAGCTGCCACAGTAAGCCACTAGAGCTTAACCCTAGAAACTCTGGGGAAAGATGCAAAACACATGCTGAGAAATTATTCCACCCGAGGATGAATTGCAGAACTCCTGCTGGAGATGTGTTCATTCCACAGCATCTAGACTATGCTGCCTTCCCCAGTTTCCAGTCAAGAGAGAGGATAAACCTCAGGAGCAAGTGCGGGTTCAGGCAATTGGTTGGCAGGACTTGTCCAAGGGATAAGCATGGGATACTGACAGCATCAGCTGCAATACCCTTCCTCCTTCCACAGAGGACTGAGGATGGTGTACGAGAATACACAAAACGCAGCAGAATGCCATGAGTTAGATAAAGAGGAAAACCAAAGATAAAAGGGAAACTAAGTCTTTATGACAAGGACAAGGCAATGACTATCTTCCTGGTAGACTCAGAAAACAGATGCTGTTTCTGTTCTCAGCTTCAACATAAGCCTATATTCCATTACACACTAAAATACAGTTTCATGAAAGCAGTTCTCTAGGAAGTCAGCTGTCCGTGGTCCAGATACGGAGCTCTCTGTGATTCTTGCTGAGCAGGATCAACATGCGTGGCTGGGAAGGAGCAGTATTAGAGGATACAGGCTTAGGGCAGTAGCGCATGACGACTTCTATGGCTGTCGGCAAGTCTGGTTCCAAAGCTCCAGCTGAGAGTGGGAGATCGCTGCGGTGTGGTTCCCTAAATGACTCCTCACCTGGAAACGTGCTCCTGAGGAAGATCCTGGCGCTACCTCTCTGCCAGACTGGGTGGAAACTCTCACTGAAGCCAGGAAGGAAATCATGGCGCAGCCGCCCTCTGTCATTTCCCCTCTTCCAGTCTCATCCCACCTTGCCATTGGAGTCCTAGTCCCGGCTGAGGGCATCCTTTGGAAGCCGGGCTTGAGGGCAGCGGGAGTGATGGGCAGGTACATGCTCTGCTACTGTTGCCTGATAGAATCACCAGCATTGCAGGGGATTCTCAGCCACTTCTCCTCTCCAGGGCCACCTGATGATGACACTCTTTCACTCGCCTTATTTCATCAGAATTTCACAACACCCTAGTTGGCAGGCAGGCCGGGCTACATCCCTCTCCCGCCTGACAGAGGGAGAAACCAAGGCTCAAGGTCACATCAGCAAAGAGAAAAAGCTGGGGTTGACAGCCAGGTCTTCTGACTTAGTCCGGGGTTCTTTCGGAGGTAGGAAACTTCCCTGGGTACTCATCCCTAAAACAACCGTGGCAAAATCATTGTCAGGCTACAACTCCACCAAAGTGTCTGAACACTGGAAACCGCTTATTTTAATTGGGAATGTGGTCTCGTCTGGCTGCAATCTACATGGCCTTGCTGTTCAAACATTTAAAAATGATTTTTTTTTTTCCATTATGAAGTCATAGTGCTCATTATAAAAAATGTGCTTAGAGTGGATTTGTGGATTTTTGTGCTTTGGAAGGAAGGCCTTCAGTCCATTCTTAGGGGGAAGATGATCTTGTCTTCAATGAATGAATGTTCTCACGGAAGGGTGATGCCAAGGCCTCATATTATGTTTCTAGGAAAGGGTAGACCCGTCTCATTCTCTGAGTCAAGGTCACGGTG